ATGCTAGCAAACGTTCTTGTTTCCTAGTAAGACTCGTCCTACCACGGAACAGCATAGGAATTGATTGTTTGAATTGTCATAGATTTGAAACGTGCATGAGTTCTAGATACGAATGCGGCTGTTGTGCTAACGAGTTAGCCACTCGTGTGTCTGAAGATGCTGCGACCTTTTAAATCTTTTCGACTTGTGTCACAGTCGCTTATTTCCCATGCAACCCTGTACGAGATTATTCCTGCATAGTTTGTGTGTGCACAACCTTTCGTTCGTCATTAGCCCTGGCAAAACTGCAGTTTTAACAACTGAACGACTATATGACGATAGTAAAATACATGCAATTGTCAAATGACACTTTCGTCAGGTTTAAAGGAAATGTATTGATGTGTGTGACCCTAAATGAATGTGGACTGCTACGTCAGTGTACTGTTTCAGTAAGTGACGCCCATTCTGACCAATGGCTGCGCTCTGCCATCTCTCATGCTGAGCAAACTGACTTCATCCATTTCACCATGTGGGTCAGTTTGCCAGATGCACAAGTTGTCCCTCTTAAACTATGCAGACCAGAAAGACTGCAACATTTGTAGACCACCTAATTCAGTCATGCACTCACATAATGTTTAAATAAGTGCAATTGGACGGTGATCCTCAACAATAACATGCCAAGTGAGACAGTTTGACTGGCTTGTAATAATAAAATGGGCAATTCAATGTCATCGTGGCTTCCAAAAACAACTGCACAAAAACTAACATAAACAGGTTGGATGTGAAGAAGTTTATATCATATAAGCAAGAATGTTGAGAAGGTTACCCACAACGCAGCTGGTCATAGCTGAAGTCATGTGTTGCCTCTTGTCAAGGCAGTGCTGATGACCACTCCTTTGCTCATGCAAAGTTAAGTCAAGATGGTCTGTCAGTACACTACAATGTCTTGCAGAATGACATCATATTTAGTTTCTCACATTCTTGAATTCCATTTGTAACTTGTCCATGAAAAAATGCAAATGCATCCTGGTTGGAAAGGAAAAAAGAACTGAACAACCTAGTTAAAACAGGACTTTTTATCCATTATTTGTATGCAAATCTACAGTTTCATGTACCGTACGTATTGGGTGTACTGTACATCCACTTGTAGACAGGTTTTGTGTTTCTAGACCCGCAGCATTTAAAAGAAAAGTAGACCAGCACCATGATGCAGTAGGTGGGTGTTAATCGTGTATATATATATATATATATATATATATATATATATATATTTTTTTTTTCCCCTTTCATCAGCATAACCTTTAAAATCACCTCTGTCTGCATTGCCTGTCCACGTACATGTGAGCCGCTCTATGCACAGGGCCACATGACTTTCTCACCAACACACATTCAGTAATGCATGCACACAGACACACACACACACACACACACACACACACACACACACACTTATACACACTCTGCTTTCTACAGACGTAGGCCTGGCAGGCCTGCCATTAACTACATTTTATTTTCCCCCGAACAAGTAGTTCACTTCCTTGCCCTTCCTGTCTGTTCTGTTGAAGCTCAAATCCTTTGGCTGGCTACACTGTAAGCACAAGTACCCATTTCTGATTTCACCCCAAATGCATTTCATATTGTATTTATTTATACATTTCAAAGGACGTAAAATATTGCCACGTTTACATTGACGCAACACTTCAAATGATATGAATGTACAAATGCCCAAATTGTGCACTTGCGCCGGACGCCTATAAATTCAGCATTGATCCCGTCCGTCACTGCAACCCAGAGTCATATTTTCGAGCTGTCTTTAATTTTCATAGTTTTGTTATAAATGGAAGCAGAGTAATCACAGAGTTAAAACCAAAAGTGTGTGCTTTACGGCCGTTGCTCTACTTTTCTCTTTTGCGGTTTTATTTGGGTGTTGACAAGTTTGAAAAACTCTGTGTAATTTACCATCCAAGTATACCTTAAATGCCACATTTATACATTACAGCCACTTAACCAAGGTTCAAAGTGCAACGGAACAAAATGTGCAGCAGTTTAAAAAGAAACTAGTCACATTTTAAATGTTGGCATTAAAAGCTACAACATATGCAACAACACTTAGCTTGAATTTGATGGCAGACATGTTCCATGTCTGATATCCTAACATATTTCATTACTTAGTTCTGGGCATCAGCTGCAATGGTACCTTTTTTTTTTTTTTTTTTTTTAACTTTGTAAGTTTGAAGGAAGACAACACTCCATTTCTCTCCAGAAGATGGCAGTCTCACACAATGGGATGGGCTTGATAGCAAGTACTTTTTGTGGACGAGCTCTACGGAGAAGACAAAATGTTTTGTCAAAGGCTTTTTGGTCATGTTGGCAAATGAAGGCAATTATGATTGTATTTTGTTTTTCTGACTGGAATCAATCTTCTGAGAAACAAAATTGCAGCTGTTGGCTTCATTCTTAAATCCCTTCATGTGTGATTAATGAAATGCATCTTACCGTTTGACTGCAAGCTGCTGCCTGTTCATGCCTGTAAAGTGCTTTTTTTAGCTTTTGCCCTGGCACCTGAATAATAATTTCGACACAAAGCCAACAAAAATGAAAGCTGATTTGAGTAGCTTCTGGAAATGTAAATCACAATTTGCTTTGCTCTGCTTTGTAGTCAGTTGGTTTTCTTTTTTTGCCACTGCACTTGACTGGCAAACTGGGTATACCATGCCCTTTGGCCAAAAGTCATCTGTGATGTTGAGGATATGCGGTATAAAAAAATAGATTTATTATTATTATTTTTTGACCAATCAATTTGAACCTGGTTGTGTGAAGTGAAAAAACTGAAAACTCATTTTCTGTGGTGATCAATGTCTTTGTCAGTAAAGCAATGTTCCTTGTGATTGGTACGCTCCACTTTTTTTTTTTTTTTTAACTTTATTCTCAAAGTCACCACCCCATCTCAAACACACATGATATGGTCTGCATTCTGTCCTGTATTAAGACTGAGCTTGGCTCTATTAGCATGCCTATTGCGCTAAGTGCATTTGAATCAAATTTTTGCTTGTTAAGTTGGTTGAATGGAGGACTCATTTAAAAAGTAAATGACCCACCAATAGGCTTCTTACCCCCCATCATTTACTGCCTACTGCTACAATCATTTCCATAATAACATGGGCTCCGACCACTAGAAAAGACAATGGTTATTGAGGAATTTAGGTCTGGATCCCAACTGTTTTTTTTTTTTTTTTTTTTTTTGTCTTAGACATGTTCATGCTCCACTTTGCATTTCAGCCTCTTGTCTTTGTTCTTGGGTGCATTCAAGTGTTGCTATAAAAATAGACCTTTACTCCCATTGCCTTAGTCAGTCAGTGTGTCCAAGTGCAAAAGGTCTCCCTAGTGTAGGTTTAAAACGTTACAGTTTGCGAACGACAGCAGCATGGATAGAGGGGAAGCGATAAACCAACAGAGGTGCGTCGCGGAGAACCGTTCAGCTGTGGTTCTGGCAAGGTGAGACGAGAAAATCTCCAAGTCGCTCTATTCACTAATTCATATTTGTGTGGATGTTGATGTGGTGGCTCAGTAATCTATTTGAAATTACGGCTGACGACTTGTCTTTAATCAGTAAGTCAGGCTCGGGCTGTGGTTGTTCAAGCTTCAAAAAGATGTCCCTTTTATGTTGTAGCAGTATTCCAGTGAGCTCAACAGATCCATTGTAATGAGTAAAATGTAGTTCTCCTCAAATAAAACTTGAGCACGCCTGAGTATAAAAATCTTATGCTGCCTCTTATCTGGGTTTGACAAACCGTCTTCATTTGATGTTACTTTGTCAGAGACTAAGTAAAACTCTAGGATGTGTCAAGCTGTATCATTTTTGTAGTGCGGTCAGACACGGTGCTCAGTGTGGAAAATGGGTCAAAGGTGTGCATTTTTTTCCGGTCAGTCTAAACCCAAAGTTTATTAGTTTCTTGCCATGGAAATGGACTCTTGTTGGCTTCCTGTCCCTTTGTGCAGTCAACGGGGGAACCTTCCACCCTTGCATATTTTGAGACAGTCTTAATGTAACCCAGAAAAACCTGTAAACTGCAAACCAAAGACTCTGCCACACTCTGCAATTGATTCTTTTTAATTCAGAGTGCGGAGGGAAGGAGGAGGAGGCAGTGTGTGTCATGGTGTTGTGGGTTTTTCAAGAAACTCCCTTTTGGAGGGTTCCAGTTAACAGCCTCCCCTTTTTACAAACCCGTGATGATAGCCTTTGATTACTGCCTCTATCGGCCATGTCAGTTTAACCTCATGTCAAGGAGAAATAGAGTAGAAAGAAACAAATGTGTGGATAACATTTGACTGCTCATCACAACATTGGAGGCTCAAGAGCTGCTGCAACATCTCTAGTAGACATGCCTACAAGTTCGTACTCGAATTAGCTCACCACTCCCTGTTTTTACTTGCATAGTTAATCCAGGCATGCATAATGACATGGTGTGCCTCCCTCCGCCTGAGGCTGCATTGCACGTCTTTCTTTTACCGCCTGCACTTTGTTGCAGTTGTCTAAGGGAATGAAGTGGAAAACACATACAAGTGGAAGGTGCCAATTGGGCTCCCCTGTGATGAAGAATGCTGATTTCTTTTTTGTTTTAATCGCATCATAATTAAATTGTGTGCTGACACCTTTTTCTCGGCTCGCTCAAAAGGATGTCGCCAAACCTTTTGTAATATGATCATGTAACACCACTCCTAGATAAGGCCTGACTGGCCAGTTTTCAGCAGCTTATTTTGTATCTGCTTTTGCTTTTAAGAAGCAGAAGAATTGTCTCCCTTTTTATTTTTTGAGCAGGATCTGTCAGTGGAATATTTCAAAGTATTTTCTGAGCATAGCACTGCCTCTGTGTGCATCTGTATAAGTGCACTTTGTTTGTGCTCTGGTATGTGTGCTTTGCTGCTTTCCTTCATGCTCGTTTGGCTTCAGGGGGCGTAGCCAGGTTTGACGTCACCCTCTTACGAAGTGTCACACCACCACCACAAGCACATACGGTAGTGGCTTCCTCTTTCAGGGCATTCATACAAAACATAGCACCATGAAGACTGGTTTTCACCCGATTGGACGATCAGTAGATGGATTGTAAATCTTGTTTTTCTATTTTGTAGTAACGGCATGAAGCCAGAAATATTTTAATACCGATTTTTAGGTTTTTGTTTTTTTCTTAGAAAAGGAAATGCCAACAGTTAGTAGGTATATGAGTTTCCGTTCATCAAAGAGGTTTAAATTTTCCAGGTAAGGTGAATCATTTGATTTGATTTTTTCCCTCTTTTCCTTTAGATTGTGTGCCATCTTTGTCAGTTGTAATCGGGACCATATTTTTAGCCTTAGACTGTGTCAGTCAGTTATCACAGTTGCTTTTTTTTTTTTTTTTTTTCCCTCCCCCTCAAGGCTATTCAAATCAGGACGTTTGTGTCAAATTGAATTGTAAACAGTGATAGTTTTCTGTTTTAAGGATAGACTCTCAGTCTAGAGAATAACAGGTTCATAAATTACAATTAATTGCAGGATTTTGAGAGCCTCAGTGGGATTTATGAGCTCCTGACCTCAAGGTGTTCTCACCTGTTGTTTCCAAGTCCTTACTGGAGCTGTGAACAACTGTGCTGTAATAATCCACATTTCCGCAGTCATTTTCCGCAGATTAAATATTGCCAGCCTTTTACGCTTCGCCTTTCTCAATAAACAGCCCGCTAACTTGATGTTGTAACAAAAATGACGTCTCGGAAGAGGAAAGTAACAACAACTGTTGTGCAATAATACTTCAGACCGCTCGAGATTGTATATCCAATGGTTGCTGTTACAAAGTGACTTATTTCTCATGCAAAATTATGTGTTGGTGCCATCCTATGCATGCACATAAACCGGATTCTCATGGGACAATTTTTTTTTCTTTTTCCGATGTCCAGCAGCTACCCAGTAGAGAGCAGTGGTGGTGGAGTGCCAACCAAAGTGAAGAAGAGCAGAAGCACTTTAAGTAAAGATGGGGTCAAAAAAGTGGAGGCCAGGAAGACGTTGAGTCTGGAGGCCGCTCAGCTGCAGATCGAGGAGCAACACAAAACCCTCACCAGACAGTTGTCAATCAGGTAAGATCCCCTATCAAAGGATTTCCATTGGAGCGATAGCCAATCAGTTTTTATTTTTTGGAAAAAGTAGAATGGGTTCAATCACATGTACACGGTGACGTGCTTGGCGTGAGGTGGCGTCACAATAACTTGAATCTGTATCACAAGACTTGAAGCTGTTGAGCCAAGTCGTAACACACATGATTGCGCTGTTCGGGCTCACGTGATTTTAATGTGTGTGAAATGCCCTCATGATGTCGGGGACGCACAATGAGGTTGTCTATGCAGTCATGTGAACACCATGGCACTCCAACAGTGCCAAATATTGTAATCTGTGTAATTCAGTTCATCTTCAGTTGAAATGACCGCATCTTGAAAGCTACATGAAAGCCTCAATTGAGTAAACATGTCCGAGTCGTGCGATTTCATGATGAAACAACATTGACAGAAAAACTCAACTGGATTCGAATCTGGCAATGTTTGGTTTATACACAACTAAGTATGTCATGTATACTTAGGTCGCAGACCTTCGACGTTGACTGCAGAAGCTTCGAAAGGAATCGGGCCAGCAGCGCACAAAGCGTAAGTCCACCTTACCTTTTGAAGTATGACCTTGTCATTTGGAGAGGAGCTGTGCTTTTCTCTCGTTGGGAAGCATGTGCAAATACAACAGTCGCACTTGGAATGCAGCACAAAATCAGCAAGCTGAGGCCTACAGTCCACTCCGTGATCAGCTACCTTAAATGAACCGGAAAACATTTCTTGCATAATTCATTCGTGTTAGGTCCTGTTATACACTAACCGCCACGCTTTAAAAAAAAAAAAAAATGTACACTGTAGTCTCTAGACCTCATTAAACTTCAAGTGAGTAGTAAACATTGTCTCTTTCTAATGATTTCAGAGCTGTGAGAGGGAAATAGGTATCTTCATGGCTAAACATCGCCAAAAGAAAGTGTAGTTGCCCCCCCCCCACCAAAAAATAAATAAATAAATAAATGATCTGACTGCAAACTGTTTCTTCTACCTTGTAGAGTTTCATAAAGCACAACGCAACATTCCACAAGTTGTTTCCAGACATTCCAGAAAGCGAAGATTTGATACATGGTAGGTAAACATGACCAACGACAGCTTCTTGAGTGACTTAACCCAATATCAAAGTTGATGAAATTTACCCCCTTCTTTTCCCAGCATACATCTGTGCCCTACAAAAGGAAGTGCCCTACCACGGTCGACTGTACATCACTAACAGTAATGCCTGTTTCCACTCCTCTGTTCTGCTCAAGGACACTAAGGTAGGCGGACAGTCTGTTGCAGGATTTAAACTACGCTAGCTGTCCGAAACCTTGGGACATTTTTTTTCCCCTTATTATATCCCACCATTTAATTTTTTTTTCCCCCCTCCTGTCCCAGTTTCCATGAAATCAAATTTTGCTTCCTCTTGCTTCCAGGTCGTGATCCCCGTCTCCTCTATCCACATTGTCAAAAAGCAGAACACTGCTTTGCTGGTACCAAATGCCTTGTCAATTCGAACCACCGAGGGAGAAAAGGTTTGTTCTTTTGTGCAGGCCATGAGAGCTTGTCATCGTGTTTGTCAGCCGAATGAGTAGCTAATGTTCTGTCTGTCCTGTTCCCCGTTGATATTCAGTTCCTGTTTGTCTCGCTGCGGAACCGAGATGCGTGTTATCAGCTGCTGCGCTCCGTCTGTCCTCAGCTTGAGGTGAGAGGTCCCGGACGCCACTACGCTCTTAATCACGAGTTACTCCGACTGCAGATATGTTGGAATGCAAGTGATAGAAGTACTGTCAATATACAAAGAACTCAAATGTCATCAAAATTCTACATACTAAACATTTGCAAAAGTCTCATCTGTAACACTGGTGATTGACTTTTTCCATTAAAATTGTCAGACTGACAAGTATGTTCAGCACCAGCATTATAAGATGAGATAAGATAACCTTTATTTGTCCCACATTGGGGAAATTTGCAGTCTACAGCAGCAAAATTTTGCATGCACAAAATAAATGTTTCAGAAAACTGTACCAGTATAAAAAAAATAAGTGTGCATTTTTGTTTGCAGGACCGCAGCACCAACAGTAGTCCGGTCATCTCCTCTGCTGAGCAAAGCTTTGACAAGAGCAAACTTGTGGTAAGGAGGTTTTGTTGTACTGTCGATTTTGTTTTCTACTACTTTTGAAATTACTGGAGATGATTTTAATTCAGTCACTTCACATTTCCTCCTCCGTTGCGACCACAGTCTCCATGTCAGCAACTGAATGAACTCATTATTGTCTCTCCGTGTCCCATCATAACAGAACTCCAGCCAGTCGAGTCTAGATGGCAGCTTTGACCTGTTCGATGGTTCTGAGTCGCAGTCGTTACAGGACAAACCTCTGCACAACACGCACAAAGGTGAGAGGCCAACACTGTGCGTTAGTTTTTCTATTCTCATTTGGATAAAAATGGATTGACGGTAGTGTGTCTTTATTTTGTTCCTTCACCGTGACAATAAAAATTAAGTTTCCAAGCGCTAAATCAAATTTATTCATTAGGATCTACTCACTCCACACTTATCACACTACTGTTGACTTTTGATGAGGGAAGAATAATTATGTGAACACCTTTTGATAGTGAAATGAGCAAATTAAAAAAAAAAAAAAATTGTAGCGACTCTTCTTTGTTGAGCTAACTGAACGGAGCATCATTGCGGCCTAGTCTAGCCAAGGCACACAGACAGTAGTTGCGCGCACAGGTGTCAATCTCTGGTCCTCGAGGGTCACTATGCTGAACCTGATTTAAAAAAAAAAAATCATTTCTTTGGCAAGCTCTGCAGTAGCCTGATAACGATCCCGATATTTGAATCAAGTGTCAGAGGAGAAACACATCTAAATAATGCAGGATCGAGGACCGGCGTTTGACACCTGAAAGTTTAGCAGAAGATGCTAGACAGAAGTGTGAAAAATTTGGGACAACCAACAATCCGAAACCGGATTGCTTTGGGCGTGTATTGTAAACGTAATCATTGATGTCTCCTTTGTCTGCAGAGGCTGCACTACCTAATGGAACAGGATCCACTTTCAAGAGCCTGCATGAGCTGCAGAGTGAGAGCTCATCTTCAGAGGACGATCAGTCAGTTTCAGGTATCAAAAACAGTCCCACAATATGCCTGGTTAACTGCCAATTCATTGAAAATATTTGAGAAGGTTCATGTTCCATTCAAATAGTAAAAGACACAAAATTGCGCATGTTCCTGGTGCCCGTGGGATCATGCGTCGGTTTGAATGCTCTCAAATAAATGATGCATGAAAGCCAAATTTAAATGCAGCCTGCCAACATGACTTTGAGAATAACGCTGTCCTTGCATGTCTGCTTCCTCTCCCAGCTGCAGGTGGCTGGTGGGTTTGGAATGTGATGGAGAAGGCCAAGTCTCTGCTGGTTCAGAGAGAGGCCAGCACCCTCAACACGCTGCTCTTCATCTACTTGATACTGTAAGTCGCTTTGTCTTCACTCCTCACATTGACACTGTCTTCTTGCGATAAGATACAATTGCACCACACCCCTCATGCAAAATGTTTTCATTTGAGGAACTTTGTTCGTTCAAGGTCGGATGTTTGTATGATCTTGTAAACTCATAGCAAACGGTTATTCAAAAGTTATGTTTTCCACACAACACTTGAAGAAATTATTATGGCCCACATCGTCGAGTGTGAGTGTTTGTTTCAGCTTGTCTCTGCTCCTCAGGGTGGTGGTGCTGCTGCTGTCTTCGGGCTACATTGGGTTACGAATCGTGGCTCTGGAAGAACAGCTGACGTCACTTGGTGCTTTGCCTGAGTTCACCCTACAGAGCGGGTAAGTTGTTGTCCAAGCCAGGCACAAACCAAATGTAGTGAAGAGTTTGGCCCAGGCTAGTCAAAATAAGATGAAATTGTAAACGCTCAGAGATTGTCTCTCTGAGCAAAAAGGCCGTGCACAACACAATTAAGGACTACAGTCAAATATCGAAGACCAAACGCCAACTTTTTTTGGCAAGCTGGTTGACCTTCCTTTCATCTCCATACAGTCGTCAGCCTTGTGTAAAATGCAAAACTGTTCCCCAAAGGGGGAAAAAAAATAGTTCGAGCCTTGTGATGAATAGTGATTTTGACGGCATGGACTGGGTGATTTCCTGCCTAGAAGGCAAGTCACCTTGCAGAACAACCTCATGGCTTTCATTTGTTCACCGTAGCACTCAATTATTTAAAAAAAAAAAAAAGGAGCTAGCTGTAGTTAGAACAATAATGATGAAAATGTAGATTACGGCATGGGCGGTACTCGCATAGAGACTAAATCCACTCAACTTTATGCTATATCCTTTATGTTTTTTGACTTTTATTTGTGTGCCCCACACTTTTGGAGTGTTGCTTGTTCGCTGACCTTTCGCTGTGCTTCACTCACGCCATTCCTTCTTTTTCAGGTACCGCCAAGACACATAACATTCAGCAAGAGAAGGAGAGCTGCAACGGCTGATTGGTGACTTGGAGGATCGCTTGCACCGGAAGACTTTTCACATGCTCGGACGGTGCGCCCAAGACACTGTAGCGTGACGCCAAGAGAAAAGTGGCCAATCTGTGCAATTTCAGAGACAACTTTTTAACTTGAAGGGCTATAAGCTTACAGTAGTTTAAAAAAAAAAAAAGAGAGAGAAACACCACCACTTACTCACACAGAGCCGAGCCAAAACGCATGTACATCCTGCCTGGTTGCAGCGTGTCTTGCTGTGTGGACCAAAGCCAAGCTTGGAGGACGCGGGAGCCACTGTTCCACATCTTCTTCCACTCCTTCAGCATGCAGTCTTAACAGGGCTATCTATACCCATCAGCATTAGCCAGCTGTAGTGCTCACCGGCACACCTCGGCACCGCAGACGTCGCGCTGCCGCTAGCCAAAGATGTGCACGTCTTTCTGCATGACGTTCACTCTCACCCTTCCTTCCGTCTTTGCAGCAGTAGGAACGCGTCTGTCTTTTTGGAAACTTGGGTACCTCTCTTTTGAATGTCTTTTCTTTCTGACCTGCTGTGGGCTGAAATGATGATGATGATGATTATGATAATGATGATCAGCCCACAATGGTCTCCTCTCATCCTCTTTCTTGATCTCTTCCTCTTTGATGTGATTTAACAGGTTTAATGATCAATACTCAGAGATTGACCTCCATGATCAATGCATCCATAGTTGACAGCAAAGTAGGACAACGTGCCTCATTGTGTTGTTGGGACCAAGTAGCATTTCTGTGTTCATAGTCTTTTTTTTTTTTTGCACCAATGATGTATTGCTAATGGTCATATACTGTATATGTCTGCATTAAGGAGAATCGACTGACTACAAGTTGTCCCTCCCCTCAGTGTAGGGCAACTCAAAACCGTACTCGTTAAGGTCCAAGTTTCAATAACAAGAAAGAAAATGGCTCCACAACATTTCAAAATGCAACAAATTTAGATTATGCTTCGCGAAACGTCTTTTATTCCTGTGTGTTGTTTTTTTTTAAACCTAACTTTTTGTGCGAAAAAAAATGTGTGACGTGGTATTGAAGATGAGTGAAAGGAGCGAGTGCACTTTACCAAATATGTTGTGCCTGTCACAATCCAAGACGCTGTGTTTGGATTGAGTAGAAATGGCAGAAAGTTGTCATTTCGGGTGTTTGTCTGACGGTGCTAAGACCTGAATTTGTTTATTTCAAAGTCTATTCACTCAGGGCCGGTGGGCACGACCCACCTGGTAGATATTCCTTTGTCATTTCAAAGTCTAGCGCTTGTCATTGGGCTGTATGTCTTGGCTTGGGTGCGTCTCTTGCGGTCCCTTTCAGAGAGATCACCACTTTGTTTAATTTGACTTGTTTTTCTTGCTTGACTTGATAATTTCTCCGTAAGAGCCTCTCCCATCTGTCTGATGATGCATACATCCGCAGCACAGCTCACACTCTGTTGTGGAAACTTTCCTTCCCCAACAAGGAGCTTAAAACTGCATCTGAAGTTTCAGTTTGCTGCATAAGACACGCGCAGTACTGTCAGTCTTCCACCAGGGGGTAGCACACGCACACAACCACCGTCCGTAAGCGTACTCCATGTAAACATCCTACAGAGGGCAGCGTTTCTGTGGTTTTTGCACTATTCAGTGTAAACTTTGTCACAATTGTTAAGTCCTAAATTATACTATGGCCCAATATATATATACATCTATATTTATTTGTATTCTGTGTAATTCAAAGTAGTCTCTGTGAGATGACTTTGCTATTGTTGAAAATAAATCATATGTTGCGAAGAACTGTTGCTGTTTCATTTGTCGTCCTCAAACATTATTTATTGATTTATTTATTTTCATTTGCAAGAAAACCATGGTGCAGTTGTCAACAGTTCACAGATATCAGAAGAGATGCTGTTATAATATATCAAGCAAATGTATATTGACATTAGTAACGTGAGCCACCGTTCAAATGTTTTCCAATGAGAAATTTCATAGACATGTGACTGTGAAGCCTGACATGGTCTTATTGGCCAGTTTTCAACCACGGGCGGAACAAAAAGGAAACAAGTTAATATTGCGTGATTCCTATTAGTGACGGGATTTTCGGCTCTTTTCGGTGATCCGGTTCATTTGGATCGGCTCAGTGGAAAGAGCCGGCTCTTTTTGGCTCTCAAACGGCTCTTTTAACTTGAGCTTTTCTTTTAAATATTTATGACAAATTTAGCATACATTTTGAAAAATGACTTGGCGAACTAAATGTTGCACTCTACTGACTGCAAATAGCAACAATTATCAAGCAAAGAAATGGCTTTTTACTTATTTTATTGAACATTAAAAAGGCTCCAAACAATAAACAAGCAACAAAATTAAACTTCAACCAACAACAATCAAACATACTGCATCATACCAAAAATAGTGAGTATTAACTGCAACAGCAGCAGTGAACAAAACAAACATAAGCTACTCCTTGCTTTATTTTAACAAACATAAGCTACTCCTTGCTTTATTTTAAATTTGCAGTCAACAAAACTAAATACTTCAACTTGGAATACTTTAATTTGTCCAGTCTTTGAGAACACCCTCTCTGACGGGACAGATGTTGCTACAATGCACAATCTACTCTCCATTACTTTGATCAAACAGGTGTAGACGGAAGCTCGGTATTTCCACCAGCTCAGTGGATCAGCTGCCCTTGAAATCTGTGGTTCTTCAAGATATGCCCTAATTTAGTGTTTTGTGTTTTTGCACGCTTGGCTAATACTGTCAATTAGATTCAGATTGCTTGCCAAACGCCTTTGTGGTTTCCCGGACAGTAGGGGGCGATATGAACTAAAGACATCCAATTCACCAAGAAGAATAAGTACAATCACAAGAACGGTACCACAACCGGTTCAATGAGCAAGTTTTTCCGCTGTCCACAAGCCCTGTTCTCAGTGAGTAATTTTAACATTTTAAACTGACTCCTCAGTTCATCTCTCAGCGTATAGATGTAGACAATGGGGAGAGTTATTACGACACATTGCTCCTTTAATTTTGTTGTTGTGACTCAACGTAAAAAACAACGTCAGCAAAGGGGGCAGTGAGCGAGCACGCCCCAAGTAAACCTCAGCTGTCAATCAAAAAGCAACCGCGAACAGCGTTTGACTTGAATACTATTCTGTATGTTTTCCACACCAAAGCTGCTATCAGCAGTGGAAGTGTGATGGCTTCACATCAAGGGGGGCAGATTTGTCTCAAAAGTATTCCCACAAATGCACCCGTGACTTTGGTCATTTGTTTTTCGAAAGGAGGTTGCTCATTGTACTTTAGGTGTGGGGAAGGAGCCGCGAGTGGATCGCTCAAACAGATGCATTGCGAGTGCGGGCACGTTGGGAAATGGACGGGTTGAAAGTAAAAGTCTGCCACTTTACGAATAATGACTCAAATTAAAAAGAAAAAAAAACACCTTTTTATGGACTACAGTGTGTGACTTTCCACTTTTGTTTTGTTTTTCTGCCTGACCAGATTAGTCAGATGACTGGGCGGAAGGCGCAGCCGCCAGACTCGGAGGACATGCGGAAGGGACGCCAACCTGCCTTTGGACACGCGTCAGTACTGAGCTGTGTGGTGTGCTTGAAGAGCTGATGTCTGATGTCACGTTGCACCACAAGGTGGAAGTGAGTGTGCCCGACTGTCTGTCTCTCACTCAACTTAAACTTCTGCTTCGTGTACTGCACAACAGTGTCACCTCCACATCGACAACCTGAGCATCATTATGTATATGTGTATATATATATACACACAGGTGTACATACATATGACTATCTTGGCCCACTTAAATGTAATTTAAAAACTTGACCAGAAGAGTGTGATCATGTTGTTGTGGAGTACATGGCAGTTAATTTTTGTCTCAGTGAGAGAAGTCGGACGTGCTCATGTCCCCCTTGCTGTGTCATGAGATGTGAGTGACATCACGCATGAGCTGGTCAAGCACATGCTCCCATCTCAGGCCTGTCGTCAGTGTTTGTGTGCGTGCAACTTGAACTGGCCCACACAAAGATTGACTGGTCAAATGCTTTCACATTGTCATGTTCGCTTTTCTGTCCAATAAATTGTTCAACTTGAATCTGAGTCTTTGCCTTTCATAAATGCAAAGACTAAATCCATCCTCAACTCACTCGAAGCCTTTTCAAAGACTGATGTCTTGAGCTCAGACTTGCGCTTCAGTCACATCAGACATTCTTTTCACTGTTCCCGTTGGTCTCCACATGACTTGAAACTCCAGGAACCGAGCTTTTGGGTCATGTGAAACCGACGGGAACAGTGAAAAGACTGTCTGATGTGACTCAAGGGGGACTTTGAAAAAGTGCTGCAATGCCCGCCCCAAACCACACCCAATTTGACATCCACCAATCGCGGTGAGGGCCCTCATTTGCATAACCCTAATCTTAATTTGCATAACAATGCCCACTTTCCAAGTTCTGACCAATCAGATTGCTCAAAATTTGCATAATCATGCCTCAAGAGCCCACCAATCAGAGAGTGCCTAATTTGCATGACCATCCCTCTTTCCACCAATCACAGCATGTTATGGTCATGCACCACCCACTTTCACAGCTATCAGCGAATCATCAGCCATCATTCCAGCCAGGCCACACCCACTTTCCTGGATTTTTTTTTTCTGCCTGGAAAAAAAAATTGGAAAAAAAATTTTGAAAAAAATTCAGAAAAAAAGTTTAGAAAAAAACAGAATAATTTTGTAGAATTTTTTTTTTTTTTTTTTAGATTGTGGTGATGTGTTTAAAAATGAAGTTGAGACATCCGTGAGTTACACGCAAGTCAATTTCTTGTGCAGACAAAGATGTGTTGGGCATGAAACTAACCAGGCAGATAGACTCTGTGTTGGGTCTTTTGAGAGCAGGAAGCCGATCATGTTTACTGCTGCCTGGGGGAGAAAAAAAAAGTAGTCATGATGGTGCATTGAACGAGTGTAAATGTCTCCTACTTTTCAGGCTGGCCCAAAGTTTGACTTCAGCACCTTGCGAATAACAGGAAGAAGAGCAAAACGTGGTCTGTGCTCGTAGGTGGACTCTGGCGATGAGCAAGTTACTCCCTCTTGTGGCACGGAGGACCCAAGAACAATCTTCCTTCAACTCTGAATAATGAAATGAGGCTTGTTGAAATGAGACTTCTTACCAGCTCGGTTCGCCTGATCACCACGCGAGGTCTTTTACCATTCGGCCATTCTGCTGCGAAAATTTCGAAATTTTTATATATAGTCAAAGGCAGCCAACCACACGAGGTTTTGAAGGTTAAAAAA